AGTCTCACGAAATTTATAACGCAAAGTGTCGTACGTTTAAAGAATATAATGTATCACAATTCGCTACGACAGTCAACTAGATTCCCCTTGAAAAAATTAAAACTTTTCTTAACATGCCCTGCTCTATTATCTCATTGGTTAACAGTAATCAAATTTACTTCACATCACGCGAACTGAATTATTATGATGGTTTATTTTCCAACATGTGCTATGTAACAAGGATATGTAAAATAAACTCGTAGCATTAGTCCCTTCAAGACAAGGTTATTTTAATATTGTAAATTATCTCTAGAAGCAAGTCTTTCCACTTTTTGCTGAAGGAACTATTTCCCTTCTCACTTATTGCACCATACCGCTTTTTTCTTTACTAAGTCCATTTTGATCGAAATTCACCTGACATATTAGGCATATTGGTGTTTTGAGATAGGCGCTTTTTCTTTGCTGTTTTATTTCCTACAAAACGAGTAAAATTAGATAATCTAATTTTGAATGCCACGCATGTCAGTTAAGGTATATAAGTTAAAGTGTGAATTAACGTGTCAAGTAACAATCAACTGATGTATAGAAATACCGTCAAGTACAGAGGTATCTCTAGCATTTCTAACTTGGATTTTCGCCATTACAAACGATATTTGACATTGACGATCCAAGGACATAAAAATCTAGCACTAGCAATGTCTATCTTGTAACAAGTCACATCTTTTTTTTAATGTTTTGTTGAAAAGCTGCTGTAATTGGCAAAAGCTGTAGCATTATCTCTGCCATTTAGTAGTTGTCTATGTCTCAATTTGTATGAATAGCATGTTTTTGATGAAGTTGAATTGATAAACGAATAAATAAGTTTGATTTCATCATGTAAATCCTCGACTTTAAAGAAGAGTGATATATGTTGTAGGTCGAACTTTCAAAATTGATTGATTTTAACTGTCTTCTTGATACATCATATTCTTTTTTAGATGGAATCAAGAGAAAGCAGAAATCTATTTTACATCAGAATGGTAATTAATGTGGTACAAAAGGAACTTGCTCAATTTTTCATCAAACAATGGAACTCTCGTTACAAATCAACACATGGAGAATGGGATGATACCAAAAATAGCGGTAAAAAATTTTGTACTTTAGAATCGGGTAGGAAGTTCGATAAAAAACTACAGTTAAAATATCAAGATGGAGACACCAGTAAATGGGACTGCACAACATTATTCAATGCTATACTTTTTTCAAAATCGATTGGCAAACATCTTGATAAAAACACAAAGGATGCTGTTCATGCACTTCGTGGTGAGAGAAACAAAGACGCACATTGGTATGAAAGCGAATACTCAGATGATGATTTTGATAAAATAGTCAATATCATTGAAAAATCATTTCAAGATTTGAAATTTTCTCTCGATAAAATCGATGAAATAAAAAATCATCGTAACAGTTTTAATACGTTCCAAGTGCTTCCTTCAAAACCCAATCATTTTTTCGTTAAACGCACTGAATTACAAGATAAAATCATAAACGATCTTGAAAAATTAAGGAATGATAACAATAACGAACTGACATATTTCTACATCACTGGTAATCCTGGCAGTGGTAAATCTCAACTGGCGAGACAGGTTTGTGAAAAAATATCGTGTGATTGGAAAAATAGAACTTCGTTTGTAATGACTCTCGATGGAAAGAATGTGGAATCTCTTTTAAAATCTTACTGTGACCTTGGATACCGCTTAAACTGTAACAAGTATATGGTTGAAAAATTTAAAGATGAAAATTTTTCCGCCAAAGAGAAAGTCAAGAACCTTCGATCGTTAGTATCTGCTCGATTGAAATTCTGGCAAAATTGGTTGATTATTGTCGACAACGTTGTGCAACTGAGCGAAATTTCTTCGTTACTACCACAAGTAGGTGATCACATGTGGAAAAATGGACAACTAATAATAACTGTTCAGAATACAGATGCCGTACCTCACGATGAATTGTCCAGCAAACATATTTCTATCAGTAGTGGAATGAATGACAGAGAATGTTGTCAATTGTTAAATTCTTACACTAAAGATGAAAATACTGATCATCAATTGTTGAATGATGTATCCCTCGCATTAGATCGTCAACCGCTGGCTTTGGCTGCTACTGGTTATTATGTCAGTCGTGTAAACAAAGCAGACTGCTCATTTACTTGGAGTCAATATTTAAAGAAAATGTCTTTAGAAGAAGAAGAAAACATTGACCCCACTTTTGTGAAATTTAACTCGGTATATCCTAGAAGTATGTTACAAGCTTCACTTTTAGCTGTCAAACAAAGTGCAGAAGAATCCACAATATTGGCACTGGTTATTAGCTTTTTTTCTATGATATCATTTGATCCTTTACCACGAGAAATTATGGTTTATTATGTTCAAAAAATGATCCCAAACAAGCTGAGGAAGATATATGTCTTTGTTTAGACGAATGCTCATTGTTCTTGCATTCAGAAAATAATGACATTAGTCTACATCGCGTTGTTCACAAAGCAATTATTGTTTATCAATCTGAACATTCAAATGAAGAACATGAAATGGAAACTAACGTTGATCAAATATCTCAAGCACTTTACATGTTTAAAGAGAGAGACGACGAAATCAAATTAATGCCACATCTTGAAAAAATTGTTCAATTATTAAAGACCAACAAGACAAAATCAACATGAACACTTTACAAGTTTTCCAATATTTTGTTGAGAGATTAAGACATTTTGGAAAATACGATCTTGCTCTTGAACTATTGGATAAATTTAAATCAGAAAATTTAGTTATGACAAAGCTTGGTATTTTAGTATTCTTGGTCTTTTATACCATAACACCGGAAAGTATAGCAAAGCTAAAATCATCATGAAAAGGCTCTGGAAATTCGAAAACAATCGTTAGGTCCAAATCATGTTGATGTCGCTGCGTCTTTAAACAATCTTGGTACGGTGTTTCAAAAACTGGAAACTACGACAAAGCTATAGAGCTTCACGAAAAGCTCTGGAAATTCGAAAACAATCGTTAGGTCCAAATCATGTTGATGTCGCTGCGTCTTTAAACAATCTTGGTATGGTGTATGATGAAACTGGAAACTACGACAAAGCTATAGAGTTTTACGAAAAAGCTCTGGAAATTCAAAAACAATCGTTAGGTCCAAATCATGTTGATGTCGCTGCGTCTTTAAACAATCTTGGTATTGTGTATTATAAACTGGAAACTACGACAAAGCTATAGAGTTTCACGAAAAGCTCTGGAAATTAAAAACAATCGTTAGGTCCAAATCATGTTGATGTTGCTGGGTCTTTAAACAATCTTGGTATGGTGTATGATGAAACTGGAAACTACGACAAAGCTATAGAGTTTCACGAAAAGCTCTGGAAATTAAAAACAATCGTTAGGTCCAAATCATGTTGATGTCGCTAGTCTTTAAACAATCTTGGTACGGTGTTTGATAAAACTGGAAACTACGACAAAGCTATAGAGGTTTACGAAAAGGCTCTGGAAATTCGAAAACAATCGTTAGGTCCAAATCATGTTGATGTCGCTGCGTCTTTAAACAATCTTGGTATTGTGTATTATAAAACTGGAAACTACGACAAAGCTATAGAGTTTCACGAAAAGCTCTGGAAATTCAAAAAATCGTTAGGTCCAAATCATGTTGATGTCGCTGCGTCTTTAAACAATCTTGGTATGGTGTATGATGAAACTGGAAACTACGACAAAGCTATAGAGTTTCACGAAAAGCTCTGGAAATTAAAAACAATCGTTAGGTCCAAATCATGTTGTTGTCGCTAGGTCTTTAAACAATCTTGGTACGGTGTTTTGTAAAACTAGAAACTACGACAAAGCTATAAAGGTTTACGAAAAAGCTCTGGAAATTCGAAAACAATCGTTAGGTCCAAATCATGTTGATGTCGCTAGGTCTTTAAGCAATCTTGGTTTGGTGTATTCCCAAACTGGAAATAACGACAAAGCTATAGAGTTTCACGAAAAAGCTCTGAAAATTCAAAAACAATCGTTAGGTCCAAATCATGTTGATGTCGCTGCGTCTTTAAACAATCTTGATATTGTGTATTATAAAACTGGAAACTAAGACAAAGCTATAGATTTTCACGAAAAAGCTCTGGAAATTCGACAACAATCGTTAGTTCCAAATCATGTTGATGTGGCTGCGTCTTTAAACAATCTTAGTTTGGTATTTAAAAAAACTGGAAACTACGACAAAGCTATAGAGCTTTACGAAAAAGCTAAGGAGCTTCGCAAAAAACCGTAAGGAACTAGTCAGGTTGATGTCGCTAAGTCTTTTAGCCAATCTAGGTGTGATGTATTATAAAACTCGGGAAGATGACAAAGCTTTACATTTACACTTTGGTAGCTACGTGTTTCAAAGTAAATTGTACCATCCAAATTATGTTAAGCCTATTTTTAAGACATAGACCGTAGGAGCAAGGATTCCACCTGTCAAGTCAACTCTCCTCTCCCTCAGAAGGTATTTTTGGTACTGAACAAAACGTTTGCAGTTTGCATTTTGTGAGGTAAAATGAACCTAAAGATGTAATGATCCTTGTCTATACATAGTTTTACTGATATCTAGTCAATAAACTTACTCTACAGCCCAAGAATCATCATAAGTAGAACTTAGAACTGCACATGCCCTGAATCTGACATTTTCCTTCAGACTTTATTTCTAAAGTAAATTGTTTCTATGTTATAACCTAGTAGTAATTTTTATTGTGTGATTCACAAACATACTAAAGTATATTGGGATGACAGAATTTTATGACTTAAATTTTGTTAAATAAATACTGTCCTGTTAGTTTTTCATATTCTTTGATGCATTCAGTAATTTTTTGCCAAGCTCCATAAGCCTAAGACGATATTCCAGGTTCGTATAATATCCAAAGGGTACCCCTTTCATACGATATATATACCGCCTCACCATGCTGCAGCCAATATTCCTGTACTGTCACTATCTCCACCATGAAACATAGAATAAGAACACAATTGAAACTAGGAATCTTTTGTCATCATCAAAGCATCGTAAGTAATTATTGGTGCATCGTGACCACTGGACCCACCCCATTCTGCATAACTCACAGATTTATAAAAAGCATCACGTTCAGGTATGTTATATGTCACTGTAAACTTTGGTTCACTGGCTCCATTAGTTAAACTCCATAGTTCAAGATATGACTCCCAAATGTTTTTAAAGTAGCCCCAAGCTTTGTTGTTTTCTTCTACATCACGACCAACCTTTTCAATGTATTCCCAAACTTCGGGTAAATCATCTAAAAGTCCTGCTCCCCATTTTTTTGGAGGTATCTTCTGTATAGCATAGGCTGTAAATAAAGCTGCAGTAACAGCCCCCAGATAACCTATAATTAAAATCATTATCTTTAAAGATTGCTAATTTCAAGTCACTTACATTATAATGACCCTATTTACATAATAGTAGCATTTTTATATGGATAATGGATTCAATGGCTGTAGTAAAGATATTAAAGCAAAACAGCATTGGCCATTCAAACAGTTTTTAGAAGACAGAAATTTTGAAATGTGGAAAAGCGATGAAAAGGATGGATCAAAGATATGGTCATTAAAAGCAAGCAATGTTAGAAGGATGGAGCATTTGAAATGTGGTTCTAGAAAATGATGGATTGCATAGACTTATGCAAACCTAAGGTCGACCATCTTTTATTTCATTTATAAATTGATATTAGATAAAAGGATATGAAACATTCATGGTAATGGCTTGTTCAAGTAAGTAATCGAAGGAAAAGTTGAAGGTAAAACATCTAAGAAAAGCAAAGGATTAAAAAGCTAAATTATAAAAAAGGTTTGTCAAAATAAAAAGAAATGCAGATAATAGGAAAACCTAGCAAACTTTATAGTAAGAAACACTTGTTAATAGACAGAACACTAGACATTAGTGACTTGATAATTGAGACATGATCTGAAATCGTTGCTTTATTATGAAAGTTGAATACCTGTGGGCTGATTATGAGTCATCCTTCCACTTTCAACAGCAATTTCAATTAACATTTCAATTTGATCTTCACAAGGAAACATCAAACCTAAACACATGGATCTCATTGCTGCACCACATCCGCCACCTCGTTCATTAAATGGTATAATATAACCTTTTTCCTCAAGAGGTCGTAACATGAAACATGCCTTTGTTGTGGTCTGCCCAGGAGCTCTTTCCCACATATCCTCAGCACATGTCTTCTTGTACTTTGCAGCCATAATGCTCAATAACTCTTCCGTTGTTGTCCACTTAGAAACCAACGCTTCTGCTGTAGCAATGTGTAGTACAGTGTCGTCACTAACCCTCCATCCTTTAATGTCAATTTTATCAAGTCCTCCGAGTTTTTCTAGTTCTTCATGAATTTGAGTACCACTGTAACAGAATTCCCACAAACCATTCTTATAACCTAGAGCAGGGGTCTCCAAACTACGGCCCGTGGGCCAGATGCGGCCCGTTGGGCCTCTTAATCCGGCCCGCAGAGACACTTAAGAAAGCCAATTTCACCACTCACATTGAGAAAACTGAACAGACTAATTGTGATTTTGTTATGATATTACACTTGGTTGAAATTTAACTTTTAAATTTTGAATAAATATTTTCTTAACTAATGAAGCTTGTGTCATGTACTTCGTTTTATTAAAGTATTCGCTCTTTGACCAGCAGTATACGATTCGTCGGCCCTTAACAAGCTGGATGAAAGTTCATGTGGCCCTCTGGCTGTAAAGTTTGGAGACCCCTGACCTAGAGCATCCCCCCCACTCAGGGGCGTAACTAGACTTGAAGTAATGGGGGTGTGGAGAAAATTTGCCCTGCAAAAGGGCGTTGCCCACAAAAACCCCTTAAATCATTATGACTAGCAAATTATAATCATTTCTATTATTGAATACGTTGTTTATTAGTAAACATTATTGAAGATTAGGTTTCTAACACATACATTATTACAAAACCTGTTTTTCAAATATAAACCTTAACCGTTTCGGACATAACAGTAAAACAATGTATATTTGTTCTCATATCAAGAGTCTTAAGTGAGAATCATCTCAACGTACTCTTGAGATGTTGCTTTTTACTTGAATTTTATTCTGAGTTTACGGTTTTTTCTGGCTGCCCAAGATTTTAGTACTACATCCAGATGAATTGTATCTGTTAAATCCTTCTCGGTCGAGAGGACAATGAGTTCTTCCAGCCTTTCACCTTTCATTGTTGAGCGCAAATAGTTCTTGACAATTTTCATTTTGCTGAATGATCTTTCAATATCAGCCACACTTACTGGAGCAGTAAACAGAAGTTTGTAACATTTATAAACGTTTGGGAAAATTTCTTTATTTTTGAAAGCAGTGTTTCCGACGTCGTGGACTGTCTTACATTCTTTCTCTGTCTCATTTACAAAGTTAACAAAAATCTCAAGTTCTGCATACAGTGACATACAATCTACGCTTATTGATGGAGGAAAAAGTTCGGTGACCTTTTCAACTTGTTCAAAATTTTTTTAGTCAGTGGAGGCTGAAGGATAACAGCTAAGGTTTTATTTTTTGCAAACAACTTTTTATGTTATCTCTATATTCTCTGATGAGGGAATCGAGGACCTCAATCATGCATTTTCGATAGTTCGTTTTTAGTGACATAATTGCCAAAGTCTCAGGGTTGTCATCCAAACGTCTACTTGATCTTTTATTACTCTTTCTAGCAAACTCTTCCTCGGGATTGGAGCCTAGAGTCTTCGCAAACTCAACACTGGCATCTATTTGGTCATTCAATTCCGATTCAGTGTGCCGTATTCTTTCCAGTGATCTAACAGTTTCATCAATCAGTTGAAGATCATCAAGGATATTAAGCTCTGGCTTCTACATCTGTACTGTCAGGATCTTTGTCTTCCTCATGATAAACCTCATAAACATAAGTGCAAAAACAAACTCAAATTTGACCATTTTCTTACAGATCGAGGTTGCTTTGGTTGTGGTTAATGAGTTGTTGTCAATTTTTGCTATGTCCGCTAAGGCATTTTGTATGGCTTCAAAAGATGTCCATACCGCTTCAATTGATTCACTAAAATTGTATTAAGCATGTAAAAGTCGTTCTATCTTGAAATTTTCACGACCTTCCTTGAGGTGTCCAACGGGAATGAAAGAAAATCGGTCACAGATTACGGACTACTTCTATCTGTATATCACAGAAGCACACATGCAGCGACCATCGCGACATTTACCGTGGCGTCTATTGAACATGGCGAAGATTTCTGTTTGTTACAGACACAGACATCACATTTGGGCCTTTATTATAGCTACTAATATATGAATATTTACTCAGTACAAACTACTATGTGGAGAAAAGAGAACAAGACAGTTAAAACACGCCAATATGATCATAGCCCATTACGCGTATATCGTGGATAATCTTATTCTGTGCATTTAGGTTGTGCATTAGGATTCCAGTTTGTAGCTCCTATTGTCCCTATTTGATAAGTCATATAAAAACTGAAAGATTCCAGTATGAATTCACTATATATTGCCATCGTTTTCCAAGGTATAATCTATAAATTTCGTATGATGCTTATGACAGGAAATATGATATGCATTTAGGAAGTTAAAATGTATCTATTGGCCAATCAGTGTAAAGCGACTGAAGCGACCAATGTCAAAAGTTCAACATGTTGAACTTTCAAAGCGACTAGCTGAGGCGACTACGCTACTAGCTTAGTAACCACGCTGTTTCAGCCTGTAGAATTAAGCCAAAATTGTCAAAAATGAAGGTTTGTTATTTCCACTTAGTAATCATTTAGTTGTTCTCGATGGTATGGCAATTTTTCTACTTCCTGAACACTGCCCTGCCACTTGACGGCAATATGCCCTGCAAAAACACTGTTTTCAGCAATTGGGGGGGTGTCACACCCCCCCACACCCCCCAACAGTTACGCCCCTGCCCCCACTCCACCGAGAACCATAACTGCTTCGTACTTCTCGGATAATTCGACCGTATATTCATGAGCCATTTTTAATGTTTACTTCAGGGTATTTTCATGAACGCTTAACATGGGTTTTTGAAACGCGGAAAACACCAGGCTTACCTCAACTTATAAAAACAAAAATCTTTTCTTTGCTTTGTTTCAATATTGTTTCAAACTATTCTGTTTAGATTTAGACGAGAGCGTTGGGAGACTGGGAGGGTTATTTTGAAATTCTTAATCTTTACGCGATTCCATGATCTTCAATCTGATTAACATGTTGCTTGTTGCAAAGATACGTTAAGACTTGATAAAACTTTTTCAGCGATAATATTCGAAAATATGGCGTTTGCATTGGTGAATTTTTACAACGAAAATACATGGATATCATTCCATATTCTTTCATCGTTTTTTAGGATGAAAATATGTCGAAAGACAAAGATGAACTTAAAGGTTTCAAAACGTTAGTCATGTGGGGCGATGGAAAAACGAAGGGAAACGGCAAGTCAAGGAAATTTCCTGCAGAGATAATAGAGGTTTCAGGTTAGTATTTTTAGTCTGTTGTAGAATTTTTTGTAAAATTTGTAAAAGCTTGTATAATTCACCCAAAAAGCTAGTTGCTAGTGCATGAAGCTCTTTCTCTTTGTTATCATTTCTTTCATGAAACATCTTAGCTTTGCTATATATCTGTAAATTTCTGTGTGAAAATCTATTTGTTTATTTCTCTGTCTTGTTTGTAGAAATTGTCATAGTTGATATGAAGGTTGCTGCTATCAATTCAACTTACTGCATATACAAGTTTTTAGGAGGGAAATACTTTCTGATAAAAAGCCTTTGCTTGAATGTTGTTCTTTCTTCTAGATAGGAATAGTTCAATTACAATATTGACAATAATGATGTGTCTATTTCCCAGATTTTAACTTGTTTGCTCTTAAATATTTGTAGTAATACATTAGGCCAAACTTTGCATAAGGTCGTTTCCTTATAATTTCAGGCATGCTACGGCTCCTATTGAAAATTATTATTTTTTAATAGTTGTTAAATAGTCATCTATTATTTTGTATAAACAGATAGTAAAGATTATTTGCTCAAGACAATGAGAAAAGAAGAAACTTTCTCTATAAATACTGGCAAAGGGTCTCGCAAAAAAATTCACAAAGCAAGGTTTACAATTAAAAGTGAGTGAATCAGATGATGTGCTGAGTTGCCCGAAATATTATATTGACCACATTTTGTTTATATGGTGTTTACTGCATGTTCCTCAATTATTGCTGCCATCATCTATAGTTAGCACTCATGTCACTAATGTGATGATGCATTCATGGAAATTTGTTAAGTACTCCATATGGTATTCATGATTCAAATGTTATTAGCTACTAATTGTATGTTCGAAGGTCTACATTGCTGAACTAGGCTATGAGCCTAAGAATTTAAATGAGAAGTAGTAGCTAATAACAAACTTTTCAAACAACATGTATAAAATTTTGTATTGTTGTTCTTGTTACCAGCAGGAGCACAGTATTCCTAAAAAGCTAAAGGCATCCAGGGCAAAGAAAACAGAGGCTTGCTGCTCTGCCAGCCTTGCTTCACTTATAAAAGAGTTATTAACCAAGGTATGTACTATACACAATGATAAAACTAATTATTCTAATCTCTATATTGTGCAATTTTATTATTAATGACGAATGCTAGGGAATTAAGGTCATTTTTCAGAATAAAATTTGGATGTTGTTTGGTTAAATGCTAAAAAAGTTAATACTGTATGATATGTTCCCGTTAATCATAAAATGCTGTTAATTTGAAATTCATTTCTAGTTTCTAAGTGAAAAATCTTTTAAAATGCAAACACTGTACAGTGTAAGGCTTGTATCGGGCAATCATACAAAATAATTTTCAACCAGTGGGGCTTATGAAATTAAAAAATTGAGATTTATCATTATAATATATTGTACTTGTTGTTAGTAAAGTACACCTTAATAGTTGGTAGTAAAAGGAAAATATTGTTAAATATTGCCTAAGTTCTTGTTGATTATTTAGGAGAGTCTGTCAGATGAAGGTGGTGCACTTTGCAATGATAAATGCAAGTATAAAAAAGAAGCCTTGGAACTCAAAGAGAGGGTAAGAATGCTGGAAAATCAGATCAAAAGACTTAATAAGCAAATTGACAATGACAATGGTGAGCTTGAGGAAAATTTACTTCATTTGTATTTTCAAATCAATGCTTTCTCTGCTTTTCACTTTTGTCTTCCAAAATGAAAAAATTTGTAAATTGCTTGT